AGTTTAAGTGAGACGACAAATATTTTACCAAAATTAAAATTTTCTCATAACTGCATAGAAAAAATAACCACAGATAAGGTTTGTTCTGTTTTTCAATGCCAAATGTTATTTAAAGATGACCTGCGAAGAAATTTTCAAAAAGCCTACAGAAGGGCAAACAGCATAGGTAAAAATACAAAAATTGAAAATTTAATGACTACTATTAGAGCAAATTGTTAGAAAAAGGTTTAATGCATTAAAGAAAATAATAATAAAATAAATTTTGCAAAACTAAGTGTGAAATTTTAAATTTTTGTAAATTTACCTTTGCTAGTTGCGCTTTTGTAGGCTTTTTGATGGACATAAAGAGCTCTAACCTTTTTCAGGATACATATTTTTACATTCTGTTTTCGGTTATTGCTAGTTTAGATCAATACCTTTAAAATGATGTATAATACTTGTATGAAAGTTCATCATAGCTGCTTCTGGAGTAAATTGAATGTGACCGACGCAAGCTGAACTTTAACAAAATAGCCAAAAACCAAAATTTATCAAACAAAAATATTTTAAACTGACTTATTTTTCTTAAAATCTGTATAAATATGAAATATCAACCGATAAGCACCCAAGAAATAGTGTAATACTTGGGAATTTTTGACCCAATAAAGACTACTAGGATCGTACTTAAACAAGCTACCTGAGATAGCCAAAAGTTTATAAAATACAACTTTTTGAGTGTTTTTAGTCATAATTATCATAAATCATCAAAAAAAACCAAAACTCAATACTTAATTTTGTTTCCAAGTGGTATTTCTAGAAATGACGTTTTTGAGATTTTTTCTAGTTTAGGGTCGCTCACAAACAAGCCTCATATTCATGATCAAGATCAAGGTCAACTATCAAGTATTATACATTATTAGAAAGGTACTGATTTAAGCTACAATACACTGAAAACATACAAGTCGTCAGATATCAAAAGTACCCTATATATCGACAAATTTTGAACTTTTTGAAAAAATTTTTTCACAGGTCATCTTTAAATAACATTTGGCATTGAAAAACAGAACAAACCTTTTCTGTGGTTATTTTTTCTATACAGTTATGAGAAAATTTTAATTTTGGCAAAATATTTGTCGTCTCACTTAAACTGCGATAACTTTTCTAGTCCTCTACAGAATTACAATGTTATTACTGTTTTGAAAACTAGAAAACAAGAACTTTGCACTGATATGTGGTTTATGGGGGGGAAAATGGCCGTTTTGGACAGTTGCGGCACGTTTAAAGATATTTTTCATAGGATTTTCATATACTTTGTACTATATCGGAACCACAACTACATATTTCCAAACTTTGTGCTACATCAAAATAAAGCTCTTATATGTTTCTATTAGGAACTGAAAATCTTTTTTCAATATCTTAAGCCATTGTAGAGAAATTGCAGTTTAAGTAATGCATGAAAAAATTCAAATTTTCGTCATTTTCCAACTTCAAACAGCCACAGAATCGCAAAAACAGCACCAAATGACCTGAAATTTGGAACATAATCCAGTTTTGATGTTCTTTACAAGAAAAAATCACCCGAAGATCGTAACTCGAAAAAGTCAAAAAAATTTTGAATCATCGATTTTTTTCATTTTGCCCCATAGTGCTTTGTCGTGTATTAAGCATAGGGGTGGTGGGCTAGCTGCGCACACCTTTAACATTTTTCAAACAGTTTCGGTCAGCTGTAGTACATTTTCAACTGTCTTAAGATATTTTCGGCAAGTTGTGACGCATTAAAAGCTAGTTTAAGATGTTTTCGGCCAGTTTTGATACATCCATATGTGATAACGTTCATTTTCGGCCAGTTGTGCACATCTTTATCTGGGATAAGTCATTTTCGGCCAGTTTTAATACATGCACATCTAATTTCGTTTATTTTCGGCCAGTTGTGTTTATCTATAGCTGGTTTTAGACATTTTCGGTCAGTTTTGATCATCTTTTGCAGCTCTTGGATAGATTTGAGCTATCAGTGTGCATCAAGTCAGCCTTTAGACATTTTCGGTCATTTGTAAATTCCCACGATTGTTTTTGAACACTTTTCGGTCGGTTGTAGAACATGTTTTCTTCTTTCTTATATTTTCGACCAACTGAGCATTTAACGTAGATTTCGGTCAGTTTTAGAAAACCTTCAATTCTCAAAAAACAAGGACCCATACCTTGAACATTCCTTCGTCTTTTAAAAATCGTGAATGAGACTTGCAAAAGGACATCACGACCAATAAATTATTTAAAGGCATAAAGGAAGGACACATACAGCAATAATGAATGAGAAGGAGCGACTTGTATTGTGTGCAAATTAGTCCTTTATATGCTGTCGTCTATGTAAGAATGAAAGTAAAAAGGTTCACATGAAGATGGTTAATCGTTAATTGCATTGAAGAAGAAGAATAAGTGTGTGGAAATGAAATTTCACCTCCTACTCGCTCAAATTAGTTATTTTTTTTTGTTGCTGTGTCTTCTTTTTTGCTGGAAAATTAATGTCGAAAGGCGGTTGCCTACCAGAACAAGCTTATTGAGTTGTTCTGTGAATAAATAGTAAATTCTATGTTAATTCTGTCAGAAATGTTACTTTAATAACTTAATGTTGTTGCTTGAAATGAGCGAGGATTTTTTTTTGTGTTGTTGTTGAATCTTTTTGTGTAAGTTTTGTGAATAAAAAAGTTTTGAGTTGCTAACGAGGTTTTTAGCTTTAATGATGAGCTTTAAAAAGCTACTGAAGTTTTTGTGGAACGTTAAATTGAGCAGTTTACTGCTTAATAGCTTTTTAGAAACATTAATGTCTGGTTTTGACTGTTTTTACTTATTTGGATGTAGAAGAATTGATTATATACTTAATTTAGCTGGGGAGATGACTAGCAAGTGTGTTGGCTGGGTAGATAATTACCACGCTGAGAGGCTTCACTGCTGAGCTTGAATAAAGACTCAGCTAGACATTTTGAAGAGTTTTCAATTAGTACTATTAGTCTGTGTACCTAATCAAAGTTGCTTACCTAAAGTTTTGTTCCTAAACTATCAAAACCAAAGCTCGAAGTCGACTTGAGTTGACTTTTTTCGAGTACAATCGAGTTAACTAGAGCAGAGGTCGAAGCCGACATGAGTTCGCTCCGGTTCGCTAAAAAACCGATTCAAAATTGAATAGAATTTTTTTTGCTGCTACTTGTGAAGTATAACATTCTATACAAATTTACCGGTTATCGAATCGGTTTTTTAGCGAACCGGAGCGGATCATGTCGGCTTCGACCTCTGAACTAGAGTCGACTTCATTTTTTCCGAGTCAATTCGAGTCGACACGAACCCTATCGACTTCGAGTTCTGATCAAAACTTAAGCAATTCTCATTTCAAATTTTAGAAATCCGTTAATAATTTGAATTTAAAAAGACTGTTCATTGTTGAGCATCAACTGATTGTTAATGTAAGAAAAGCTATAACCTTTCTTGAGCATATCAAGTGGTTAGTGATAGTGGACATCATTAGGAGCCGTTCACTCATTACGTAACGCTTTTAAGGGGGGGTGGTGGTTCTAAGATTTTGTAACGGTTCAAACAAAAGAAATTTTTTCATACAAATTTTGTTACGAGGGGGCTCTAAAAAGTCGTTTTTTCGCGTTACGTAATAAATGAACTGACCCTTAGTAATCGTTTTATTTTTGTGTCAAGTTGTACTATCCAAATTCATACAAATTCGTGGAACTCCCTGTTAATAAAATATTCTCAATCTACGTTTACAACATAGAAAGCACAACTTAATTGACATTGTTGTATTACACAACCTCCACAATTTTATATTCCCCAGCCACAATAGAATCTAACAACTTCCAAATAATTTATATAGGCACAATTTCCTAGAATTCCAACAATATGGACATCAGTTCACATGTAAGTCATAAATAACTCAAGTAAGCGAATTCGCTGAAGAAAACGTGAACAAAATATAAATTTATGATTACTACATCGTCTGGGTCTTGACTTTTATTGATTTTTTCTCCTATAGTAAGCACAACGACATTTTATTGATTACATTTTATTGTTTTTACAGCTGGAAAAAGGTTGACTGCTCTACCTTAATTCTTTGATGTGGAAATAATGCCTTGACTTTAATTTTTTTTATTTCTAAAAGGATTCTTAAACACCTACATACATACTGTGATGTGAAAATAGCTTGTAACTGCTGTTCATTATGAAAGCTCGTTAATGTAAAATTGATTCAATGAGTGTGCCATAAAGGATTAATGAATGAATGTTTACAAGTGCGTTGGTGGAAAATTTAATGATAGAAGTTGTAGGTTACATCCCTTTGACAAGCTACAATTATTATGTTATCATTATACTTTATGAATTAAATAAAATGAACGTAGAATTAAGTTTAATTTTTAGAAAATAATTGCTGGAAAATTATGAAACTTATTCGAGTTGAAATAATTGCTGCGTTGGTGAACATTTCTAGAATTTTCTAGAAATGAATGAAATCTTGACAAAATACAACCAACGATGTAGATAAGTTCAATGTTATGCAGTGGAAAGAGATAATTTGAAGGTTATGAAAGATATCTTAGATATTGACTAGGTTCTTACTACTAGTAAATTCTATGTCGTTGTACAGTAAAGTCTACAAAGATACAGATAGTAATGAATTGAAAGTGAGACATGAATCTAGATCTAATAGTGATGCTAGCAATGAAAAGATAAAGACACCTTGTTGATTAATAATTCAATGAAATTAAACTTATACATTTAGAAAATTCAAAGAAACTTTAAAATAAATAACACCAAAATTTATAAATAGTTTAAATATTTTCAGGTACTAAAACGATAAGTTTTAAATTGATAGCTTGTTTTGTCGGCAAAATCATCGAAAAATCTCAATTTCATATTGACAATTCTTAAATTTTGGTTATAAATTGAGATCAAATGTTTTAAGTAGTATTATTCGTAGTTTGAGAGTTTATTGAACAACACAAAAGATTTAACAATTTTAAAAGTTTATTTTTGAAACAAATTGCACTAAACAATATAAATCTTTATAAGGTTTTCGAAGTGAACTAAAAGTTATTTCATATATTCGAATTTTAAGCAACGAGAACAATTTAAAAATCAATCAAAATGTCCACTTTACAAGGACAACAACAAAACTTCAACAATGCAGTTTTCGTTAATCCAAACAATCAAATACGTCAAGTATTCACATTCAGTCCAAATGTCAATCAAAAAAGATCAACAACCAACATTAATGGATACGATTCAACACCAAGAAAGAGAAAACATGTGAGTGACAATAACGAAGCTGATCAAGCTGACAATTCAGGAAAGCGTCAACATATTGAGGCACAAACAAATTCTCATCATCAAAGCATTTACACTTGCTTCAATAATAACTGCCAGCACAGGTCATTCTCGAATGAAAGTTTCTCAAAGTTATTGAATTTCTTTCAAAATGACCAACGCAATGTTTTGAAAGGATTCTGCATGAATTGTGGAAGTTCAATATTTGAGGAACTCTTCCATTTGTATGAGCATTTTCGTGGCTTTTCGCAGTCTTGTGAGCAGGCAAATGTCGAGATAAGAAATGTTCCATCAAACGACTTTGTTAAACCATTCATTATAAAGAAAGAGGCTGTAGACATTTTAGAACAAACAGATTTCATAGATCAATTTGAAAAGACAAATGTCAGTGATATGGAACTTGATGATTCTATTACCGGACGAGAAGTTCATGAAAATACACCAAATAATGTAGAATTAAGTCCTGTTGCGAAATCAACTCAAGCACCAAACCAGAACAACGTTGATGAAACTTCTTTTAACATTAAGAAGGAAGCCATTGAAAGACATCACGATTTGGAAGCAACTGTGAGAATGCCCGAACCAAAAAAATCAGTTTCAAATAAATTTGAGGACCTTAATGCCACAGTGTTGATTCCTTATGATCAACACAGATTGATTCAAAGTATTGAGCCAAAAGAGAATTTGGTTCCAAATTCTGAAAAGTTATGCTCATCTAAATTAACATGCCTTGATTTTATCAGCAAGAAGATTGACAATGCTAAGAATAACGAAAGCGATAAGAAAAAGAACATAACGCCGAATAAAAAAAGCATTTTCAATCTTAAGAAAAAATCAAGCACAGAAGTTAAAAATGTAGAACCAAAGGAACCAGAAGATGTTGACATGTCACTCAACAACATTACTATTGACAACTTGCTTGAAAGAATCAAAAATTCAACAAAAACAGTGAAAGAAGGTCCAAAGTTTGTCATTGAAGTTGAGGACTTGGATAAAGGAAATGACAAGAATAAGAAGACAGAAAAAGAAAGTCAAAAATCAGAAGAAGCTAAGACAAAGTCCAAACAAAGATCTTCAATCAACAATTATTTTTCAAAGATTGATGGAACTAAGAAATTTAGCAAATCAGAAGCTTGCAGTGAATTCCAATCAAACTTCAGTGAACAACTAATGACTAAGGTTATGACAGAAAAGACACCAATAAAAGGAACTCCAAAGCGAAAAGAGTCACTAAGAAATAGAAATGAAAGTGAAAAGCAATCAATAAACAAGGAAACAGAAATCAACAACATTGCTGCAGTAAATCTAGAGCAAGTTCATCCAAAGTATCAAACTAAATTAGCATCAAATGAGGATAAGTCTACAAAATCTGAAACCAAACTAATTAAGCAATCAGATAAGGCAGACAAAAAGTCATCAAACTTAAACAATTCGTCAACATCGCATGACAAGTCACTAAACAATTCACAAAAGTCACTAAACAATTCACAAAAGACCTTAAACTCTACAACATTTGAAATGACAAAACATGTTCCGTACATGGTTGACATTGAAGCTCTAATCGCTAAAAGCTCATCAAATGCAGAGCTAGTAAGCATCAAAGATCTCTATCCATGGATTAATCAAAGCGTTACATCGATAATGTTTAAGACAAAACCATCAATTGACATCCTGCTGAATGAATATTCGCTGTTCTCAACATACAAATGCATGAACGAGTTCTGTAACTTCTTCACGACAGATTTTGAGGAATTTAAGACACATGCAAAGAGTCATGACTCAATAAATAATTATTGCAGCTACTGCTTGAAGAACTTTGACAAGTCAATTGATCTGTGCAATCATCTCGACATTTCTCACAAATTTGATAGATTCCAATGCAATAAATGTATGTTCAGGTCGTGTCAGAAAGGATATGTTGATGTTCATCAGCGTGTACATCATGCAGATAAAGAAAATTGTGAAGTCTTCAAATCACCTGTTCAAAAATTATTGAAAAGTGATCGATCAAAGTGTCTGCCAGCTTTGAATAAGAACCGCGAGAAGTTTGTCATGCCGTATAGATGTAAAAGTAAGTACATTTAAATTCTAACCTTAAAAAATAGACTTAACCTCAAAATACAAAATTCTAACCTCAAAATATTTTTTCATCTTTCCAGCACCTAGATGCCGTGAAGTATTCTACTGCAAGGATAATTATCGCAAGCACCTCGAAATGGAATCACAAAAGCCATCATGCAAAGACTTTATGGCTCTAATTTGCCATCAACTCACATTAATTGACCATTCAAGAACCACAACCAATGCTGAAGGTGTCTACCAATGTCTACACTGCTCATACGGAACTGACAGCTCAAACATTTTTGATCATATGGCACTTAATCATCCACATGAGTTTGCATATGTTTGTAAACGAGTAAAGCCACAAAGGCTGGTTGAGTTGAACATTATCTCAGCACATGAAACAGTCGAGAATTCAACATCAATTGAGTATTTTGGAACGACAACGGCAGAAGCAAAGAGTTTTAAGGGTGATTTGGAAAAGTTGAATTTTAAAAATTTGGGAAAGGAATTGAAAGGAAAAAAGAGATTTGTTGTGAGTGATGTTATGTCGATTGATAATTGAGGAAGGAGATGAAGATGTAAATCATTGAATTAAGAATAAAATCTGTAAATACATAAAATGACTGTCGATATTTAATTGTGTTTGATTTTTTGCTAAGCATGAGAAGCTAGCTTGCAGCTTAAACAAGCATCCCTGTTAGGATTAATCGTTTCTATAACCCAAAATGCTCTTAACTTTCTTAGTAAGATGATATTGAGCTTAAAATAACTCTTGTATCTGAGCAAACACCAGTTAAATCTAGAGCAGTGCTGCCTAAACTTTTATGAGACACGGCACACTTGAATGGTAAGCCATGATCGAAGTCGGACACAGTATGCGACTCGTGCCAGTTTCAAAAAGTTTATACGGCACACAGTTTGGACAACACTGATCTAGAGTATCAAGCTTTATAATATAGACGAATCTCGCAATTAAAGGTCAGACCTCGAGTGGTCGAGTGGCTTTGCAGGATTAATAAGTTTCAAACCCACACAGTTGTGAGTTCGTGTGTTCGAATCCTACTCGAAACTGACCTTCTAAATTACTAAAGAGTCAAGTTTTGAGCTAGAGTCTGAAAAAATTTGATTCAAATTCAACAGTGTCGATCTTTTGCTCGGGGATATAATGACAAGAACGAATATGGTAATGGTACAATAGAGTAGACACACATTCATCCCGACCTATCTTAATCCCGATCAGCATAAGTTGGTTAATCGATCAGAAAAATCTCAGGATTTAAATCGTAGCCAGCACCATGCCATAGTCACACTAGCTTGGTGCCAGATTTCTGATCGATTATCCGACTTGTGCCATTCGGGAATTCCATTTGCCTTCAAGTAAAAATGTCATCATAATCATAATAATCTGTTCCAACAGAACCTGATAAAAAAAAATCCTACTAATTTATCACGTGTAAAAAAACAAAATGCTATAATCAGCATCAGCAAATGTGGTAAAAATTGTAAGGATGGAATTTGAGGGGAAAAAATGCTAACAAGTAATTTGTAAAAAAAGAAAGAAAAATTCTCAATCACTCATGTGGCACATTGGTATCTTTTCATGTACGATATTATCGATGATATACATGTTTTGTGGATTTATATAAAAAGACACGCATAAGGAAAAAAAATTATCTGTGGAAAAATTTATGGCGACAACATGAAATACGGTGTTCGTACAATTTGGAAGAGAACTTAAAATGTGCTTAAAAGGTGCTTACGGAAATACCTCAATTTGTGATGAAGATGGATTCTTGTACTTTATGTTGATTCCTCTTCTTCTGCTGGTATTATTACACAATAAAGTACTGTGTTTTGGAGTGGATTTTTAAAAAACGATTTTGATGGAGTAACGCAAGATATTTTAAGGATGGATATAAACATTTTTTGGATGGAAAATGGCAACATGTGCAAGATTGGGATTATTGGAAGCTTTAGAATATTTGTGTACGATTTGATTGACTTTACTAAGTTTAGTCTAGTTTTGGGCTTTTAGGATCCACCAATGGTTCCTTGTCCTTATTCGAATCATATGGACTTAAAATGAGGCTCACAGCCTTTCTTTGTAGGCTACAGGCAGAAATGTCATCAGAGAAGTGGTTCGGATCAAACTATAAACTGTAGGTCTAGGTTTGAGCGGGAGGTCTGGCGAACCCTCTCGCATTAAACTATCATTAGCCTTGTAACGCATAAAAACGCGAAGCTATTAAGGTCTGAATGCTAAAGTTTATTTTATTGAATGGTTTCTAGCAGTGCTCGAAGTCGATGAATTTGTATGGAGTCGAGTCGACTCTGCCATACAAAATCGATGAAAATTGAGTCGACCTTTAGCTCTGGTTCCCAGTTTCAAGCATTCATTGTTTGCTTACCATAGACAGTTGTCTTCCTTATAGGATTCAGGATGCCAATGTATGACTCAGAAGCTGGCTAATAATCTTTTGTATACCTTCCCGTGGTAAACTCTTTACATAACGCTGGTGATCGAGCTCTGTGCCTGGGTAAGTCCTTGAGACAGTAGATTAAATGACTATTCAATCTGTAAAGCAACAGCCCAACAATCATTCCCAAATTCACATTGAACAAACAAAGCAACATAAGGTGAACAGGAATCGACATACCCCCCCCCCCCCCCCCCTCGTTCCTAAAACTTCAAACAAGTTCTCCAAATTCTGCAAAATTTTTACAAGAACACTAGAAAATTGAAATGGGTTGGGTCTCTCTTTTGAGGCTTCAGTCAATTTAATAGCTCACCAGCCAAACTTATAAAAATTCCCTTGCTTAATAAATATTCAATCCAAAAAACATCTAGACTAAACAAAATTATCACAGACTGCGCTGATAATAAAAACAGAAGAGAGAAAAAAAAATCCATAAAAGAATATCCTCGACATAAGCGATAAGATAAATAGAAACGTTGTGCCTTAGGTAGCAAAAAAAAGAAGATATAAAACGAACATGAGTGTACGATAGAAGTCAAAAAAATGTGTGTCGATGGAAAAGTGAAAATATTTTCGATTATGATTTCATAGAGCTTCCAGAAGTGCATCACTGAAGTGCTTGGAAAGTTGGAATTTTTTTGTTCCAAAATGAGCACTTTCCTGTTGGAATGAATCAAGACTTTTTATTTGTTTGTTTGTTTGCTTTTAAATGCATCGACTTTATGATGTAATTTGCTATATGAAAGTGGTTCTTTATGCTGATAAGCTGAATATTTATTCAATGAAGCTCATCTTTATGATTCTGTATTTTTTTCATCACTGATTACTGTTTATCATATAAATTCAGTACGTGAAGAGGTTGTTTATCTCGGGAAATTGCTTATTTTTTCAAGGATGTGGATGAAGGAGCTTGTTTTGATTTTTTAGAGCATGTCGTGAATATTTTAATTTTTTCATAATAAAGGATTTAAAAATTTATTGAAAGTCTGTTTGAATATTTTCAATACTTTTTTAAAAAAGATAATTTGAATTTAAAAAAACCGTTAAAATTTTAAATTTCAAAAAAGCGTTAAAATTTTAAATTTCAAAAACCGTTAATATATTGAATTTCAAAAAACTTTTGAAAATTTGAATCTTTAAAAATCGTTAAATTTTAAGAATAGAATATAGATCAGTAGCATCTCAACATTTAGTAAGGTTGAAATGCTCTTAATCATTTCATTTTATCATCCAAAATCACATCATCTCCTCAAATTCATCTAGCCGAACCAATCTTGCCTTCCAAGAAAGGCTTCATTCTCCATATCACTGAAAAATTCATTTATTAAGTCATTTGCAGCAGTTATAAGAAGTTACGGAACAAGAAAATGTAATTTACTAAATTAATTATTTCATACATGCTGTGGGCTTTCAGTTAATCTCCTTCATTGTTATGGATTGCACGCAACTTGCTTAGTAACCGAATAAATCTATACAATAAATTACATTGTTTAATATAGTTTGTATTGAGGTAGGAGTGCTTTAAGTTTTTAAAAGATGTATTGAGTTTTTAAAGTGTTTTCGGGTTTTTTTGGGGGGGGGTTGCAGTAAAGAAAAGAAGGGGTAGTGGTGTTTTGACCAAGTTTTGTCATGAGTACAGAGAAGTTTTAGATACAGTGTAGGGTTAAGTCCAGTGTAGGGTTAGGGACAGTGTAGGGTAAGGGACAGTGTAGGGTTAGGGACAGTGTAGGGTAAGGGACAGTGTAGGGTTAGGGACAGTGTAGGGTTAGGGACAGTGTAGGGTTAGGGACACTGTAGGGTTAGGGACAGTGAAAGGTTAGGTCTAATTTAGGGTTAGGTACAGTGCAAAACTAGGCACAGTGTTGGGTTAGGGACAATATAGGGTTAGGGACAGTGTAGGGTTAGGGACAGTGAAAGGTTAGATCCAATGTAGGGTTAGGTACAGTGCAGAGTGAGGCACAGTTTAGGGTTAGGTACAGTGTAGGGTTAGGTGCAGGATAGGAGTAGGTACAACGTCCTGAGAAACTTGCTACTTACTTGCTTTTCTGACCGTACAGATTAATTGTGATCCATTGCCTCTCCTATATGGCGCCTGAAGCTAGCTTTATCGCTGGCTACCGCTTGCCAATTACCAATACCAAGTGAAATACTGAAGAAACTTACTTTAAAGTATTTCATGAAGCTTACCCCTGAGGTTACATCCTAGGTCAAACACTTCTAAGAAATAAACATATGCTAAATTAGAATCAAAAATATCTCCATAATTCACAAACTAAATTGACATTATTTGTACAATTCTCATGCATTCAAAATTATCTTCCATAATATGACAGCATCAAGTGTTTAAACTACTTCATAATCAGCGTGAACATTTAAATTTTTTATCCAACCTCATCATAAATTTTATTCTAATTTTCCACTCATTCTAAACTGCTGAATTCACAGGAACAGAAATTTTCTGCATAACTAATGCTTAATTGAGAAGATGAAATTTCACAGTTCCGTAATGATGCAGCAAGAATTTCTATTCAAAAACTTGTATGTCAAACTTTATCTCGTCTGATAGACAGAATGGAAATGAATTTTCTGTTAAATTTTATGGTCCACAAAAGCCGAGCTTTATGGGTGAGATTCGAGCGTTTGGAAACATTTTTCGAACTTGCCAATGATGAAAAAATTATTTTTTCTCTTTTTTTATTGAGAAAACTATGCGGAAGTGAATTTTTTTTTTAATTATTCGTCCGTACATCGGGAAGTTAAGGTTTGGTATTAAACTGAGAGATTTGTTATTGACGCTGTTGATTTTTGTTTACAATACTTCTGCTAGCTCATTTGAGTCTAAAATCTGAATCAATGATTTTTCGTCAAATTTTCAAGTTTTTTTGTCTTTTAACGGTTTTTTGAGATTCAAATTTTTAACAGTAGAACGAAATTTAAATTTCTAAACGCACTCATCACGTGTTTTTCATATGAAATAAAAAAATTATTTACTATAGCATTTAGCTATTGCTTTAAGACCATTAAGCATCCATGAGGCTAATGAATTGATGGAACTGAGCTGTTAAAACAAACCTGAGCTCTCTCTGATGTCTCGTTTACGAGATCTCATTTTGAGCCAGCCGAACAAACAAAGTGCATTAGTAAAAATGCAAAAATGCGCTAAAAATAGCCGAGAATGAGCGAAAAAGAAAGAAAAAAAAGTTAATTTTAAGCAAATTTAATTTCATAAAATTCCACATTGTGCAACATCTGAGTAGTAAGTAGCAGTTGAGCTCTTTTTTTCGGTCGTTGGAAGAACGAGCGAGAAAAATTTCTGATGTGGTGCTGAAAATTATGCATGAATGTAAAAAAAAAGTTGTAAATGAAATAATTTTTTCACACTATACGAAAAATAAAAAAATAAAAGTTGTGCTGCAGCTTGACTTTGTATGTGTTTCTGTGCGATGCTTGAAATAATTGTGTTAAAATTGTTCTGCGATTGTGAAAAAAATATATAAAACTTATCCCACTTATTATCATAATCCATGCACCACATTACACCAACAGCAGACGCTTTTTTTGTATAGTAATTAAATATTATTTTTTGACGCTGCTCATATTTAAATGAGTTAACCGATTTTCAACAACTAAGTTTATGATTTTTGCTTGCTTAATTCTGTATGCAAAAACCTAACGAGATGAGAAAAATTTTATTAATCAAAAACATTTGCAATTTTAATTAAATCTCAGCAAGCAAATTATAATTTTTTTTGTGTGTTTCTAAATTTTGCTTTTGTGAAAATTGTGCATTTTTGAGTTTTAGAGCTTCCAAATTTGATTCAATCATGTGGAAATCTGTAAAGAACATCAAAGAGAAGAACTTTGAGAAGGATTTGAAGTTTCCTGTCAATCGTGCATTTGGTAAATGTTTAAATTATGTTTTTTTGTCAATCTTAAAGAGATTCTTGTCCAGGGGTGGGGAACAGAAATCTTGAGGTTAAATAGGGAAAAATTTGAATCTACACTAATACTATCAAACATTTTCTAAGAATAAACATTGAATTTGTTAAAAATTGTCTTAACTACAACTTAGTCTTTGTTTAGAATATGATTAAAAGCTTGATTAAGCATTACTCAATATGATTTACTTTTCTGGAGCCAGTTTAGGCCTTCAATTAATTGATAAAATGTGAATTTTACAAAAATAAATATATTTGTATTGCGTGCGTTTAGAAATTAAAACATTGAAATTTAACGAGGTGCCTTTTGATTTCTGCATTCAATAATAAGGACCGTCTGTCACCCCTGGATTCTGAGTATTTAGCGTAGCTATGACCCTAGATCCTCTTAAACTGATCTCAATTTAATTTGACATTTTCTTCTTTGAGGTGAAAATATCGATGACTTTAAACTAAGATCAGATTACGAAGAAAAGGGCAAATTCGACAAAGAAAAATCTATAAGAACTACAGAAAACTTTAATGACGGCATTAAGAAAAAGTTTAAAGATATCCAGCCTAATATCAAGAAGAAGCATGATCCTTAAAATTAGGCAGTTGCATTTTCTATCAGATTTAAGGTTTTTATCTAGTTCTCATAAATCTACGAAATCATCGATTTCTTTTATTGTCGACATCCACGGTCAGTCTACAGACATAACAGCATCCCACAAAAATAATAATCCACATCAATTCCGTAAATTGTATTTTTGCTAAATTCAATAAATTATTTATAAAAGCCTCACATAACATCCAATATTTCTATTTTAATTCGCTATTTTATGGACATAAACAAGCTTTCTTTTTTTGATCAGACAGAGCTTTTACCTCCAAAACAGCGCAATCTATTTGTTCCACAAAGCACTTACCGTAGCAATTTAATTCATTTATCTGTTGAACAATAAAAAGCCGTTCCATTCCATCCAATTGATTTTGATATCATTTTGAGCTCAATTAGCTACATAAAAAATGGCCATTTCAGTGGACTAAAATTGTTGGATGTAGAGGAAATAAACTAGGCACAATAATTGAATCATGTTGAGTTAATCAAAGCTGTATTTCTATCATTTTCATGTGAAGCTCTTGTCTCGGTGATAAGAGAGAATAGAAAAATAATTTTTATGGTCGTCAATTTTTACTGTTCTTATCTGTGCTATGCGAATGTCCTGAAACTTTTTTTTTATTCTGTGATGTTCGCATTTTTTGTAGGGTTCTGCAGAGTTGGAAATCAATGATCTTTTGTGAGCTTTTTGGAATTTGTGAAAGCTTTTTGATTTTTTCGAGAGCTTTTTGAAGTCATTTTAAAATATTTTGGAAGCTTTTTGACACTTCGGAGAGCTTTTTGACAATTTTGAGAACTTTTTGACACTTTTGAAAACTTTTTGACAATTTTGAGAGCTTTTTGACACTTTCGAGAGCTTTTTGACAATTTTGAAAGCTTTTTGACAATTTTAAAAGCTTTTTGGCAATTTTGAGAACTTTTTGACACTTTTGAAAACTTTTTGACAATATTGAGAGCTTTTTGACACTTTCGAGAGCTTTTTGACAATTTGAAAGCTTTTTGATCATTTTGAAAGCTTTTTGACAATTTTGCAGGATTTGCCATAAATTTTGTGGGCTTTTAAGAATTGGAAGAGCTTTCTGACTCCTGTTAGAGCTTTTGGATCTTTTGAAAACTTTCTGATGATTTTTCAAAGCTTTTAAATTTTTTGAGAGGTGTAGTAAATTTGAGAGCTTTTGAAACGTGATGAGAGCTTTTTTAGCCATTTCCAAATCCTGATGACAAATTTCACAAGGGTCAGACACTCCAAAGTATTGTACGGTATTGTACAATACCTACAATACTTACAATAATTGCCATATAAATTTACAATACTTTACAATACTGAAATTTAATTATTCAAGAACCAAATTTAAAAAAAAATTAAATATTTTTTGAGTTTCCAACAATTTGTAAAATCAAATTTAATAATTTTTTTTTACAACTATTGATAAATAACAATTTTTTTTTGATAAATTAACATTATTATTGAAAATTAGCAGGGGTATTTTATGAAAAACTAGCACAAATTTCAGTTTTCCATTAAAAGAGAGAATTTCTGATTGTGTAATGGCTATAAAAATGGTAAAAAGTTCAAAATTCTTTTGTAAAGCTAGACTGATGAAAATCAAGAATTGATTTCATACAATTCTCATGCATAAAATCGTACAGGTACGAAGTTTGTTATGTAAACTAATATTAAATGTCAATAAGGATTCAAAATTAAATAGATTGGTTTCATTTTCACAAGATTTATCACTCTTTATAGCAAACTGCATTACGTTTTATACAAATTTTTTGATCAAAGTATAAGGTTTTAAGTATATTCAAACATTACTTTGACGATTTGAATTTTTTTACCGCTGACAAGAAGGCGATTGAGAAGGAATCTAATTTAACAAACTTTTCAAATGGTTTTTATAGCATTTTTTTTTTGAAAATACATATTTTCAACAACTGCATCTCTAAGACAATATAAAACTGTATATTTTCTTCTTTTTTTGTCAAAATTATTCTTATTTTTTTTAGTTCTTATAGTTGATACTAGACTTTCATGATTTCCTGTTACCGAAATTTTTGTGACAGAAACTCGATGAAAAACAAAAGTTATCCAAAAAATTTTAATGTCAAATTATCTCAATTGAAAAGTTTCATCATTTGAACACAAAAAAATCTTCCAAATTTCCAGGAGCATGTTTGAAATTTTTGTCCAGTTCCCGATAATTTTTTGGGTCCGGGAAATCGTGAATGCCTAGTTAATACAAAAAGATATATCATTTCAGGAAAATTCACTGAAAATTTCTAAAGAAAAACGTAAATCGAGGCATAGCAATGTTATGATATGACTTAAAGCGCTATAAAAAAACTAAACCTCGGTGTTAACTCTATAAAACTGAAGCAATCGTTAAAGTTCCTCTAATATGAGGAGACTAATGTCTAATAATCTCATTTTATCTTTGTTTTCGTTAAAAATGTTTGAAATTTTTGGCTGCATCTGGCGTTATATCGCCTTTGTTTCGAACCAGAATACTTTTTTGCTATTGACAATTTTGAAAAATGACTTTATTACCAAAAATTTTGTATACAAATATTTTTACAATATTTGTATGTTTTAGACTGAATATTTTTGAAGAACTATAAAATTTCAATTAAAACTTAAAAATATTTAGTTAAAAATTGCTAATTATGTATTTTTTATCAAATTTTGGTTCAAAAAATGTAAAGACACAAGAAACTACACAAAAACCGTCAATTATAATCAAATTCATATGACAAATGTTTCTCAAACTGTCTTGTAAAAACTACAATAATTAAAAAACTTTCCATACAAGTATTGTAAGAATTGTAAGTATTGTACAATCCTACTACTTGTCATACAAGTATTGTAAGTATTGTAGGTATTGTACAATACTTACAATACTTTCATATGTATTGTAAAGTATTGTACAATACTTACAATACTTTTGGAGTGTCTGACCCTTGAAATTTCACGAGTTTTTTTTGACAATTTTGAGAGTTTTGGTTGAAAAATTGAGAGTTTTTAAAATAACATCCTTTTATTCCAACCCTGAAAAATCGACCAAAAAAATCAAGCAAGAAGCAATACGCAAAAAATCAATTCGAGTCATAAAAAGGCACAAAAAATTGAGTTCATGTGCGTATGTGATGGACTGAAAAGCATCATAAAATGTCATTTCTATTACTCTTTATTGTACATAACGGAAGTGTGATTTGGGTTGTCACGGCATAGCTTCGTGTATAGATACTGAAATTGCAAATTCACAAGAGACCATTCGAAAAGAAATTGATTGAAAAAAAAATTGTTTCCGCGTTGTTGAGTTTAATGAAGTCGAGTATGAAAAATTGAATGTATTGGAACTGGAACTTGATTTTTGAGGCTGGAATTTTTGAGCTTTCAGTCATGAAACTTCAACTTTTTTGACAAAAATTTCTTAAAATTCCAGCCATACACATTGAAATTCACAAAAATATGTAGTCACTGAGTTGGTAGATTGCAGAACTAAACGTGATAAGAATTCGGTTCAGCGACGCTCAACAATTGAATAAATCTGTAGCAATTTACCCTTAACATACGCACATGTACATTTTATAGGCATATTCTCCTGTCATTTACTGACGACTGTTAATTTAGCATTCTTTATTTCTTCTCTCTTTCATGACGTGTCTAGGGGTGGAATGTTAGGGGTAAGGTTGTACTTGAATTACTACTATTTGATGCTGTTCATGCCGTTGTCAATTCAAGATTTGACAATTTTTAATTAACCTGATTCATTTATGGTTTACTTCAAGCTATTTTAAGTAATATCAGACTCTAACCGACCGTGGGTACAAACAGAAAATTGTAAAGCCATTTTAAAACCTACTGAGAGGAGAAAGGAGCATAAATATAGGTTAAAAGAGGGGTTCAAGCTTTTTAAAAGTCAAATTTCACTCTTGAAGTGTCTATTCCTTCATAGCCTATTCTTTTGGCTACATTCAAGAAGGTGGAGGCTATGAGGTTTTTTGATAAGGAAGACGACTTAAAACCCCATTTATTGATTACCATAGGGAACGTCCCCTTAAAATTCTAATTAATTCATACCCAACCATTCTCAATTCCCCTATCTTGTATGACATACATGTCTGTACGTCCGTGAATGTAATGAAAAAAATGTAGAATTTTTTTTCTCGTTTTATTCATTGCACAGGAAAATAAATTGGTCTTGTATTCCTATTAACATCGGTCATATATTTCTCGCTAACTACATTCATTGAATAACTCGAATGAAAATTACGACTTTTTATGTTCCATATCAAGTCATTTAATGAAACTATAGAATAGCAATAATTTTCTTTTATGTACATACGTACAACATGTTAGATGAGGGGTCGAATGAATTTTGGGGATGGCATTTCGAAGATTAAATTATTTTTTTTTGTGTTTTTGTTGATTCTGTTTGTTATATTTAATTCGGATATGTCCAAACAAATTTTCATGTTGTTATTTGACAATAAAACATTGCTTGTTATTTTGTTTGCATAATTTACATATTTTCAATATTTGATTAATTTTATTTTAATCTGTTGACTAGGACATTGCACATTTGAATATTATTGAATTAGAATTTATTGTCTCTTTTGGGTTTTAATTTGGAAATAGTATTTTTATTTGATGTGGGTCAAAAACGTGATTAGTTTCTTGAATTGAACTGAACTTATCCCTCGAGTTTAACAAGCCTTGTCTCTTGAATTAAATGTGTCTTGTTCCATGAGCCAAACTAACATCATTCATTGAAAATAACTCGCATTTTACTTGTATGGCATTGATCTCACCCCTTTAAGTGTACTGATCTTGTTCCTTAAGTTGAACAAGTCTTGTTCCTTGAATAGAACTAATCTAAGGTTTTCAATTCCGGAATTGAAATGGATGTAATCCCGGGATCAAACCCGGGATTTAGTACATTTAAATCCCGGGATCGAAAACCCTAAACTAATCTCGATCCTTCA